ACAGTTAGGCTCAGTTAGTTCTGTAAGTATTACTTTCCTTACTTTACAATTAGGGAAATGGAGGAGTAAATATTAGTGCCCTGACTCTACAAAGTTTCAGTATAACTATGATTTTGGGTATGTCCAGCAAATTAAAACCCATGGCTAGCCTATGGCTGATGATTGAGGGGCTGTTTCATTCTATTGTTCATTGCTGCAACCCATGGTTTGGGACCGTCCCAACTTACAGAGTACTATTCACTGGGCTCCAGACTGAGCCCAGGCATCTACAGAGCAATGAAACAGCTCTGCAGCCTTAGCTTTGTGATCCTGAGTCTGCTGGCCATGTCTAGTTGCTGTATAGATATACCACAGGGCTACCGTCTACACTGCAGGCTTCTTGCGCAAGAACTGTTTTGCGCAAGAGTTCTTGTGCAAAAAGTCTTCCACAAGAGCGCATCCACACTGCCATGTGCTTTTGCACAAGATATGTGCTTTTGAGCAAGAGCGTCCATGGCAGTGTGGACGCTGTCTTGCGCAAGAAAGCTCTGACGGCCATTTTAGCCATAGGGCTTTCTTGAGCAACAAATTCATGTTGCCTGTCTACACTGCCTTCTTGTGGAAGATCTCTTGTGCAAGAGGGCTTATTCCTCATGGGGAGCGGAATAACTTTTCCAGAAGAAGCCCTGTTTTCCGACGATGTACTGTAAATTTATTTGTGCAAGAACGTGCATGCAGTGTAGACACTCTGCAAGTTTTTGCACAAGAACAGCCATTCTTGTGCAAAAAGCCTACAGTGTAGACGTTGCCCCAAATGAATAGAACTATTATAGTCATTGGGACTAATAGTATGTTTAAAATTAAGCACATGCATCAGCTTCTGCAGTCTCCAGACTAATAGCTATAAAAGTCAACTTGTTAAGAAAATTGGCTAGGAAACCAAACAGTAAAAGTTCAAGTAAAAAAAAAACGTAGTTAATTTTCTTTAACAGGGTGAAAAGAAACTCACCCTTTTAGTATAGCAAATAGTATCCCACCGAGTCCTTATTTTTAATCTTAATTAAAATGCATCTATGCTTATGGAAACACACTTTGAATGACAGGAGACTTCCCTTTTCTATACAAATCAGTTCTCCCAGCATGATAACTGAAACCTGATAATCATTGATGGTTAACTTCAGATGAGGCAGCTGGTCTAGACTTTCTAAGAGACAGTGTTTGGGTACAATGATCATATTTGAAAGCAAAAGCCTAGAGCACTGGTTTCACTGAGGGCCAAACTGTGGAAGTCTGTGAAGTTACTGCATCTAAGGAAACCTAATTTCTGATGAACAAAGCCTCTAGTTACTGCACTTTTTCCTAATATTTCAAAACAGATCTTAAAAGTCTGCTGCTCCATTTTGCTCTGTAGAAAAGCCTCAGTTCATAAGGTTAGGAATGCTTCTCACTGAGAATAGTATCAACTCTATTGTATTTGGATACAGAGTTTAGTTAAAGTTAGTTAAAACTGAAATTTCTTTATAGTGGCTAGTATGACACAGTAGAAAGGGGCAGCAGAAAAAGTGTAGAAGACATAATTTTATTTCTGTTTTACTACTGGACATCTAAATTCACAGTAAGCAATAACATTTCCTTCATATATTAAAGATTACACATTGACTCTGGTGAGAAGTTTGTAAAGTGCAAGAAAATTTTGAAAATATCTATCAGCTGGAGATCTGATCCTTCTAAAAGGAATGGAAATTTGCATACTTAGAAGCCTCCAGAATTAGCCTCTATTCTGGGATGCATTATGATTTCATTTAAAACACACCTAAAAAGTTGTAGGTAAAGTTATTGTGCTGTTTCAGAGTTATAGACATTCCTTAGACAAGCCTCAAACATTGTGTGGGTGTGTATCCTCTATTTTGAAGTCTTGAATTGAATCGAATTATAACTATATTTCATGCCTCTTTGTCAGAGGAGGTATTTTAGAAATATTGCATTCTGTATATTTCATTTGAAATCCTATTATCAACTTAATTCTGAAGAACAGTGTGTAGTTAGAACTGATTAGCAATGTTCTCAAACATCACCTGGCTTCCTGACTAATTAAAAAAGCTTGGTTTTGACCTGCTTTTCAGTTGGTAAGAACAGCAGGGTGGCTTCAGAACAAAAATAATGAACTTCAAACCACTGCATCTGATCATAACAGGCTGCCAAATCCATTATTTTAAGACTGAAATTAAAGTAATTCTATGGCTGTGTCTTTCTCATGGGAGAATATTTTCAACAATAAAATAAATACTGGATTAAATCTGATTTTTCCCCCAAGAATTTCCTTTGTTTAAGTTTTCTTCTGGTTTTGCAAAGGACATTTCACTAATTTACAGAGAAGAGAAGGAAAAAGAACATTCTTTAGTTTAAACAGGGAAAGTGCACTAAACCAAAGGGTTCTTTAACATTGCTTGATACTGGATACTCTTTTCATGTGTAGCCCCACAGAAACATGGTGCCACAGAAACTGTGGTGTCTCCCTCTCCAATCAAACTCTGTCATAATTTCAGTGCATGACCCTAGTAGAGATATGGGTTATGATTTACTTTGCACTTATACCACAGAAATCATTGGCTCCACTGGAATCAATAGTACTAAATCAGTGTCAAATTGGTGTGAGAAGTGAATCAGGCCCATAGTCTCTATTCTATTTATCTGAGATTCTATTCTACATATTTTGTCTTTTGTTTCAGAACACAGAATACACTCATCAGGTGGTTTGGGAGTACATACAAGTCAGAGAGATCAGTGAATCAGTAAAAGGCGGTATCACAAGTTAAAATGATTTGGTAGATTTCTAGTATATTTTCTTCCCTGGCTCCTATTAACTTAGATGCATTGCTGGGACTTAGTGGAGACACAGAATATAGTTTTAATTAACGTTATCTAAGACTCCTTTATTCACAAACAAAATTGCTTCTCCACTAAATGCTTTCTGACATATGCAGGAGGAATAAGAGGTAGATCGAATTAGGGCTTTAATTCGAACTTCCAGCTCCTTGCCACGTGTAGCCGCGGGCAGTTAGTCTGGACTAGTGAAATTTCAAAATAGCGACCGGACAGGAAGATGCAAATAAAGCCCGGGATATTTAAAACCCAGGCTTCATTTGCAACTTCAAATACCTACATTAGCTTCCCTAGTTCAAACTAGGGGGCTAGTGTAGATATACGCGCAAAAACTTGCCAGCTGTCTACACTGGCCACTTGATTTTGCGCAAAAGCACTGACGTTCTACTGTCCGAAATCAGTGCTTCTTGCGCAAATGCTTTGACGTTCCCGTTCGGGCAAAAGCCCTTTTCCGGAAATGTTTTTGCACAAGAGGGCCAGTGTAGACAGCTAAAAACTGTTTTGCTCAAAAAAGCCCTGATGGCAAAAATGGCGATCAGGGCTTTCTTGCACAAAACCGCGTCTAGATTGGCACGGAAGCTTTTCCGCAAAAAGTGCTTTTGCGGAAAAGTGTCCATGCCAATCTAGATGCTTTTTTCCGCAAATGTTTTTAACGGAAAAACTTTTCCGTTAAAAGCATTTGCGGAAAATCATACCAGTCTAGGCATAGCCGTAGGGAGTAAAACAAAGGAAGCAACTAAGGAATGTAGTGATGAGGGACAAGACTACAGATCTTAACTGCTTGTTTTAGGGTCCCTGGGCTTAAACCCAGTACAATGGGTGTGCCTCAGCTCCTCTACCATCCACTATAGATGTGGCACAATTAAGGGACAAGGAAAAAGGAGACTGACTAGGGCAGAGTATTTTGAGAGACTTTGATATCTGTGATTTCCACAGAAGTGAAAAACCATATTGACCTGAAAGGAAACCCAAACCATGAAGTAGGAACAGTTAAGTCCTGAGACAGTGGTGAATCGCTACTTCAAGAAGGGGTTGTCCTCCAGGAAGAGGTGCTTAAGGAGGGAAGAGAGTACTCTGTGACAGAGGGAGAAAGGACTAGTACAGTCCCTGGGAAGTATTTTGAGTTCTGTGTGTAAATGTAGAGCAAAGCAAATATCTTGAGTCATGTGATGATGAAAAAGACTGACGATAACACATCTTGGGTAAGCTGTTTATGGCTAACACCTCCAAATCAACAAAGCACTGTGTACCTCAATAAGTAACTCTTCTGAGGGTTGACCTGCATAACCTCAAATAGCATTGTTGTCACTAGTCTGAAAGTGGCAAAGGCATGAATAACTTAAGAAGGGTTCAGATTTTTTGGCTATTACAGTGCCTCAAAGAGACATACACAAGTAATAAACATGGTAATGGATTACTGTACTTTCATCCAAGTTAGGTATTTTGTATGTTTTTTCTCTACATACAGCTTCAGTGAAATCAGTCATGCCTAGGTGTTTCATTATATTGCATACATCTAAACACTCAGTATATTTCATGTGGCATAATTAGCTAGCTGTGAGATAACACCACAACATATTCAGTCTTTTTACAAGTTCCCACTTTAGAGTTATGACAAGTCAATAATGCTCATGTGTCATTCAGCATCTTTTCTGCTCTTTTTAAAAAATCTGTATGAAACTTGACAATTTCTGTCTTGCCTCATCACAGTAAATGGGTAAATGGCAAAGACACTTAAAGTGCATTATACTTAAAGTAATGGGAGACTGTCAGCAAGACATGTATTGGACAGCTTGTGCCTGCATGACCTTCTCTAGGGGAAATGTAACTTGCATAAGTTACCTTTACTAGACTTTGTTCCTATTTGCTATTACTTGAAAGTTCATATGTCAGTCTGAACAATGGGAATACCCAGGAAAGCTTAGTGTTGTATCAAGATACCTTAATCTATATCAACAGGAAGTAATTATGGTTCCAGGTGCTATGTTTTTAATCTTAACAAAAAAGGTTTTGATCACTGATAGGGTAACTGACATCTTTAATTGATTCTGAGTGACTGATTAGCTGTCTCCTACCTGAGGCTAAAGCACCTAATGAAGAGCAGCTTCCCTTTCTAGAGTCTAGCAAAAACACAGCTGAATTGGGGAGAGTTTCAAAGAGCAGTGAGATTTCTAAAGCAATTTCTGTATTAGGGAAAAAGAACAGAACTCAGGAATGGCTGAATGTTTTTGAAGAGAGACACCTTCATAAAGGAAGGCTGTGCCCAGATTGAGGCTCAAGTGGAAAACTGCTGAGTTTTATCTTGGCTTGGACTTTGATGTCTTGGAATAGATGAGATTTTTTTTCTTCTAATTTAGCTAAAGGATCAAGTCACTTCTGCTACTAAACTGTGTAGGAAGATTGGTTGTCTCAACTTGTGTGACAGGAAAGTGAGGCAGTGGTTAATCTGGAGCCAGCTCAGGTAGGTGATGCTCATACAATTACAAGCATGTAGTTTAAACTCTGGATAGCTGGATTAGTGATGAATAAATTTCTCTGCTCTGAGGAGGATGCTAGGCTTTTCTCATACTGGATTCTTCCTTCTCTACAACCCCCTGACTTTTTCACAGGGGGAAAGATTTTCAAAGGATCTCAGTATTCAAGATATGTGAATGCTGCCTTTGTTTTTCTTCCTCCCCACCACCTCCATCTCCCCTCCCCATCCCAACTTCTATTTCAGAGGAGAATGTTATTGACCTAGTCCCTGGAAGGACATGTTTGCTACAATTTCTTATCCAGCAATCAGTGCTATCATTTGAATTACAGTAATGCCCAGGGGCTCTCATCAAATCAGACCAGTGTTGTACTATATTTGGTACACATATAGTATTGTGGTGTAAACAGATAAGATGCAAAAGGGCAGGTGTAACACAAGGAAGAAGAGGAAGTGAACTTGCTTAGGTAGAAAGATGTGCAGTTTTTCAGATTAAGTTTTTCTTTGAAGATATGAGTAAAGACTCTCACAAGTAGAACTGTGCAAATAGATGGTTTACTTTTAAACATGGGGTTTTCCCTTCCCCCTCTCACTCTTTAACACTTTTGGAGATCATTGACAAACAACTTAAAAATTTTCAGCAAATGGAAAAAGCTTTAAAAAGAGCTTGTATTTTGACTTGGCGCCTTAAAGCTTTATTTAAATACCATTGAAGGACAAATGCATTTTGAACAAACACTTTTTAAAAGCAATATTGACTCTTTGGTGGATGTTTAACTTGGCAAAAGCAACAGGAATTCACAAACTGGTTTAGTGTTGCTGAATCTGCTTAAAGTCAGAAAAATTCTGTTCAGCTCTACTTGCTACTTCTGCTTAACTGCCTTGTTGTTGTGAGCTGACAACTTCAGGCAGTGTACTAGATATAGTTCTTTGGGGGTGCAATATGAAGGAGGCCAGAGATGGTATTCAGAGTATAAGTGATAATGCAGGAAAAAAGGTGACTCAAAGAGAAGCTAATGAAAGGGTAATAAATCCACCTGGCAAATGTGAGTGATGGCTAAATAGGTATATTTTGATGAGGTATAATGGTAAGGACCAGAAGAAGGGGAAAAAGGGAAGGTAGTGGATAATTGAGGGGTCAGAAAGATGATCCTAGCAGCAATATTTTAGATGGACTCAGATCCACAGTTCTGAAGATTAGAGAAAAGTCTGTGATCATCCCAACCTGCTGTGCATGCAGAGGCCAAATCATGCAGATTATAGCAGAAAAATAGCATGAACTGGTTATAGCTAGATAGGTGGTGCTAGAGAAAGGGCAGAGTCAGCTGTCCCAGCAGCTCCCTGGAGGGCATTGCTGGAGTGTAGGGGGACATTCTGTCCTTAAACTAATTGCAGGTGAACATGCTGATTTTGCAGTCCTCCCAGAAATTACTGATTTGGGAGCAAAGGACCAGCCATAGGCATTGCCATCTATCTTTTAAAAAATAGATTTCATTTCATTAAAGTCCTTTTCCTGCTTGTTTCTGACTGTATCTACTGTATACTAGAGAGTATGTCTGTGAAAGACTGAGCAAATCTGTCTGGCCATCAGTTGAAGAACTCCTAAATGGTAAGAAGTAGGGCGACTAAATTTGATATGCAGCTTCCTCTTATCATAACATAAAGCAAGGCAAGGGTTTTTTTTTTGGGGGGGGGGTGTCTAAAACTCCCTCCATGCATATAGGGATTCATAAAACCATAAAGAAAAGAGACAATCACCAACTAAGAGAAAGGGGTTGGCTGGGGGGTATATCCCCTCCCAGTCCTGGAGAGCCTCCCCACCCCCCCAGGAATCCTTTGGGGTGGATGTGGCTCCCCCCCCCCATTTGAATGGGAATATTGCTAGTTCCCCTTTATCAGTGATCAAGGGGAAAGTACATAGTTGACTCCATTCCACCATCTAGCTGAGGAGCACAGGGGGCAGATGAACCTGGACCTGCCCCACCCAGAGAACCTGCTCTCCTCCCCTGGCTGTTCACGATGGAAGTGGAGAGGCACTGTGTTGAGAGACAGCTGGAGAAGTCCTCTCTCCCTGGAGAAGCCTGAATATTGAATTGCTGATCTGCAGGTTCACCCCAGAACAATGATTTAAATGAAGAAAAAAAAGAGTTGATCCCAGTAGTACCCGGTGAACCTTCTAGTACTTCTATAATTATGACTAAATTGAAAGAACTTTCTTAAATGTTTATATACCATAGATGTTGCTGGACCAGAGATCCCTAGCCACAGAGGTGGCCAATGGCTGGGATTTCATCTGACAGGAAGTCTCCAGGGCCAGCATCTGGAGCAGGGCCAGAGGCAAGGGAGTGCTGCAAGTCCAGAATGGTTTAGCAGCTGGGAGTAGAGTCCTGCCAGTGAGCAGGGGCAGCACGTTGGCTAGGCTGGTGGCCAGGAGGAGAGCCTGAGGCTTGACCTCCCCTGGTCCTGCAAATTCACACCTTCGGGACCACTCGGGTTCATAATATTCCTCTGATAAAATATACCACAAGATGGTAAACATTCTGGCTACATCTACACTGGTGCGTTCTCACACAAAAGCTCTTTTGCGGAAGAGTTCTTCTTAAAAAAACTCTTCCAGAAGAGAGTGTGTACACTGGCATGTGCTTTTGAGCAAGAGCATCCATGCCAGTGTAGACTCTCTCTTGCGTAAGAAAGCTATGATGGCCATTTTAACCATAGGGCTTTCGTGTGCAAGAAATTCATGTTGCCTGTCTACACTGGCTTCTTGCACAAGAACAGTTGCGCAAAAGAGCTTTTTCCTGAGTGGGATCATCAGAGTTCTGGCACAAGAAGCCCTGATTTCATACATTAGAACGTCAGTTTACTTGTGCAAGAACACGCCTCCAGTGTAGACAGGCAGCAAGTTTTTGTGCAAGAGTGGCTGTTTTTGTGCAAGATCACGCCAGTGTAGACACAGTCTCAGGTTCAAACACTCCCTTAGTCTGATGTGGAGTAGAGACTTAAAACCAGATCTCCTACATCCCAGATGTGTGCTCTATAGGGCATATAATTGCCAACAGAGTAAGATGTTTTCTAAAATTAGAAACCAGGCGTGGGGCTTCAAGCCATAGTTAGTTTGGTTGGTCTTCCTCCAACTCAATGTTTTCTAAATGGTGTTCTGCGGAACCCTTGGGTTCCGCAAAGTGAAACTAAGGGTTGCATGAGAAAATTCTACTCCCCGGCTCCCTGCAGAGCCCGTAGGCAGTTCCCATTGAAGCTTTGCCGGAGGGGGAGTGCTTCTGGTTGCTCCACCACCTTCTTAGGCTGCCCCACCACTGTGCATGGCGTGGCCCCTTCCTCAGGTGCCACACAGCTTCCTCTTCCTCATGTGCAGGTGGTAGCTTGTTACAGTGGCCACTGCTGCTAGGAGGGGTAGGGGTGGCTGGGTCAGAGATGCTGAGTAGCCATTCCCGGACCTCAGCATGTTTAAACTGCTGTCCGTACCTTGGCAGGGGCTGCGTAGAACTCGGATGGGGCTCTGCGGCACCCTGGGGTGTGCTCAGGCTCGCTGCCACCTCCCCCCTAGTGCTGCTGCTCTCTCTCCCGTGCCTCTCCCCACCCTGAAGGGGAAGCAGTAGAGTCTGGCAGTGGGAAGCCTGACCTGGTGCTGCAGCTGTGCTGGGATCCCTGCTGGGAGAATGACAGCATGCTGCCTGGAGTCCTTCCCTGCTGTAGAAGGATGCCAAGCCAGATAAGCATCTTCCTCATGCCCAGACCCCACACCCAAATCCCCCTCACTCACTCCCCCTGCCAAGACCCCACATTCCTTGCGTGCTCTGACATCCTGCTCTATATATGACTGATAAGGGGTTCTGTGAAATTCGGTCGAGTTTAAAAGGGTTCTGTAGCCAGATAAAATTGGGAAACACTGATCTAATCATTGATGCTGCAACTGAGGCCTGGTAGAAAAGTTACATGGGTTCTAATATAATTGAACTAATATACTCAGCTGAGAATCTGTTTGTACATCCCCAGAAAGCACGTTGTTTCTATCACATCCTCCGGTGCATGAAGGCCAAACTTCCAATAAACATCTCCAAAACTATCATTTATGTTCCTTCAAAACACTCTTTGGTGTTACCTAAAAAACCTAGGCAAAGGTTGGGATATTTTGCTGAGGCCACTTCCTCTCCTATCCTATCCTATCCTATCCTATCCTATCCTATCCTATCCTATCCTATCCTATCCTATCCTATCCTATCCTATCCTATCCTATCCTATCCTATCCTATCCTATCCTATCCTATCCTATCCTATCCTATCCTATCCTATCCTATCCTATCCTATCCTATCCTATCCTATCCTATCCTATCCTATCCTATCCTATCCTATCCTATCCTATCCTATCCTATCCTATCCTATCCTATCCTATCCTATCCTATCCTATCCTATCCTATCCTATCCTATCCTATCCTATCCTATCCTATCCTATCCTATCCTATCCTATCCTATCCTATCTATTTACCAGTATCCATCTGGGACCATCTTTTACTTCTGTTGTACCATGCCTCATGCAGTGGGAGGAGAGGGGGGGAGCTTGTCTATAACTAGACCTCCTAGTTGCTACTGCAATACTAATATGTGGAATTCTCAATGAGATTTGACAAATTAATACAAAAATTTCATACTAAAAAAGCTTTATTTTCCCACTACAGAGCTAACCTGCATCTGTAAAAGATACAAAAGGTACAATATATGTTTCCCCTTGTGTGTCCCCTATTCTATCTAGAACTGCTGGTTGGACATGCAGGAGAGGAACTATGGTTCTACATACTCTTTTCTCTACTCCTCTTAGAATGAGTTGCTTCAAGGTGTTGAGAGTGTGTTGTTCAGAATTCCCTTAAATGCTTTCAGTTCTAGTTAGCTGTTGTACGCCCAGGGGGACAGGTAAGGGAAGCCCCATTCTTCCCCTTTGCCCCTATTCCATGCAGCCACGTGTCCCAGTTAAAT